TTTAATTAAATAATGATGAAAAGATAAAATTCGAAGCCAATATACTTGTATTCCAAGATATTATCTACGATTCGTCGAAATTTAGATTTCTATCGTTTTGAAGTCGTTGCAGAGAGCAGTCAAAAAGAATATCGTATCGTGTGAATAAACAGTAACGCATTCTTGCTTTCACTATGTATTAGAAGTAAAAAATACAATATTCTACGCCATAATATACATTCAAAAATAACTAGTCCGACTTCACGCTCCAAGAGCGTCTAGTTTATATATGGAAAATGAGGTGACTTAAGTTTTTATTACAATGTATTATTATTTTCAAATGTGAGCAAAAGCTCGAAAGGGATGTTAGTGGACCATGTCCCTTTAAAATAAGACCCACCGAAAAGTGAACAAATGTCTCGCTCAACTACGAAGTCTTAAGTGTAGTAACACATTCTGAGATCAGACAATCGATGATTTATCATGCTTACTCCACTGGAAAAAATCGCGCGCTTTAAAGGTTGTAAGTTTGATGTTAAAGGGACACTGTCAATGGTACGCATGCGCGAGTAAACTTGAAAACACTAGGCTAGTGTTTTCAAGTTTATGACTCCAAGTTGGCGCGACATAAATCAGCTCGTAAACGTAAACAGATCTAGAATATTCCAATGATTTACCTCGAAGGTAATACTTTCAAAGTCCGTTAGAGGCGAGACTGTTACTGCGCATGTCATCCATATTGACAGTATCCCTTTAATATGACGTAAGTGTCCAAAATTCTGTAATTAATGGAAGTCATTTACATAAAATCTACATACAGCGCGATTTTTTCCAGTGTTTGTAATGAACTCACAATTCAATTGGTCCACTTCAGGGGAATGTAACGGAGAAGGATTGGGAAGTAACGACTTTGTAAATCGTGTATTGCTCGTCTCTTGTGGCTCRGAAAATATGAGCATCTATACATTCTCTACCCCTCGAAGGCTACTACGGGTTTTTTCTCTCCTTGGTCTTCCTGCATTAATTTATCATGAACGAGACAAACTGGTGCCGAGCCTCACCCATCCAATTTCTTAAAATTGCGTTTTGTAAAGTCTCTCGGCAAGAGAATCTGTTGTCAAATAAAACAGCGGTTATATCGCTTTGAATTCGAAAATAGAATATTCGACGACTAAATCGAAGATAAATACTTCGAGCGTCACCGCGCGCGAACTCTCCAGCAAGCGTATTTTCGTAATTTTCAAACATCTAGTGTTTCAAGTATTTGTCAAGAAAGATAGTTACTTCCCACAGTAGTAGAATTGTGCCTTTTGTTGTCAGAGCATCGTATATCTATATCAGAAGAATTGATTCAATCCATTTTATCTTAACTAAATAAAATCGACTCGTCTATATACATTTTATTGCGTTATTTTCCTTTATCGGCCTATCAAAAATGTTTCTTATAATCATGATTCTAATRCAAAATGACCTGACAGTGTTTATTGCATACACTATCCTACTGATTTCAGAATACAAATCATGCACATTCCAGTAATTCTTATTTACATTCGTATGGTTGCATATTGCACATTTCCATCTACAGTATAAGCGTCTAGCACGGAATAACCCCGCCATTGATTCCTGACTAGTCCCTGGCTTGTATTGCCTATGTTGTTCATTATCAACTGCATATAGATGCTTTTCACCGTACACGACAGTTGTATTGTCAACGGCTCTTTCTTAATGTGCTACTGACAAACGCTCTCCCTCGTTCCTCGTATTTAGCGGCTAAGTTTTTCTTGGCAACGTTCACTGATGTATGGTTTTCACCGAACAAACGTGTGTAGATGGCAAGGGCCTTTTCGTTACATACTATTGATTCCTGGAGTCGCCCTGATTCTTGATAAGTATTGCCTAAATTGTACAAGATGTCAGCCACATGCAATGGATTGTGTACAGCCTGCAACGTGGAAATAGTGAGTGCCTTTTCGTGACATGTTATTGATTCCTGCAGTCGCCCTAGTTCCCTATATGCAGTGCCTAAGTTGTTCATGGGCTCAGCCACAAATGGATGGTTTTCTCCCCACACGGTTGTGTAAATATCGAGGAATGTTTTGTAACATTCCATTGATTTCTGCAGTTTCCCTTGTTTCTGATATACACTGGCAAATTTGCTCATGGTAAGACCCACCGATGGATGGTTTTCACCGTACAAACCTGTGAAGATGGCAAGGGCTTTTTCGTAACATTCTATTGATTCCTGCAGTTGTCCTAATTTTTGATATGCAGAGCCTAAACCGCACGTGATCTTAGCCACATCTGGATGGTTGTCACCGTACGCGGTTGTTGAAATAGCGAATGCACTTTTGTAACATTTTATTGATTCCTGCAGTTGCCCAAGTTCCTCATATGCAGTACCTAAGTTGCACATGGGCGCAGCAGCGAATCGATTGTTTTTACCGTACACGGCAGTGTGGATGTGGATGGCTTTTTCGTAAATTTCTTTTGCTTCCTGCAGTCGCCCTAGTTTCTGATATATGGCACCTAAGTTGTTCATAGTGTTAGCACCCAATGGATGGATTTCACTGTACGTAGCCGTTGTGATGGCAAGGGCGTTTTCATGACATTGTAATGATTCTTTTAGCCATCCTAGTTTCCGATATGTTAAACCTAAGTTGTTCAAGTTAACAATCACCTGTGGATCGTTTTCACCGTAAACGGCCATTTTGATACCAAGGCCATTTTCACAATACTCCATGGATTCCTGCAGTCGTCCTAGTTCCCGATATGTATTGCCTAAATTGACCATAATGTCAGCCACCAATGACTTGTTTTCATCGTTTGCGTCTGTTGCGATGGCAAGTGCTTTTTCGTGATAAATTCTTGCTTCCTCTAGTCGCCCTAGTTTCTGGTATGCACTGCCTAAGTTGCCCATGGTGATACCCAGCGATGGATGGTTTTCACTGTGAGCAGCCGTTTTGATGGCAAGTGCTTTTTCGTAATATGTTTTGGATTCATGATGTCGCTCTAGTTCCTGATAAGCCATGCCTAAGTCGTTCATGGTATCACCCACAGATGGAAGTATGGCATTTATGTTTACATTTGAGATATAATCGATGTGGTTGCTCTCCTTTAAAGCTTTCAACAATTCTCTTGTTTTTGACAATTCAAAACTTGACAATTGTAATGCTAAAACGAGATTTAGAAAATCTCGCGCGCTCTCGAAAATARAGTGTTTGAATAAGACTGTTGACAAATGGTCAAGAACACCGCAAAAACTATCATCTAGCAAGCCTCCGCTTGTGGACTCTTTGATTATGGCGTACTTGTTTACTTGCCCTGCAAGCTTTACCAAGTGATTTACCAAGGGTCTTGTAATGGCCAAACCATCGGCTAGAAATTTATCATCTATGACAGGAATCAGAGAGAATGCTGAAATTACAAAAAAAATGTCCACTGTATTTTCTGTGATATCTTTATTTTGCAAACAGTAAAAAACCACTTGATGAATACTTATTTCCTTGGCTCCTTGGACTCGTACTAAGGACGACGAACAAATTCTCACAGCAACTGTATTTTTGTCTTCGTCAGGCATGACTTTAGCAACATACTCCACAATATACTTTAAAGGGATTGGCTCTGATGCGATCACAGATAGGAATCGAAAAGTATGCAGCATAATCTCTTCACTAATCTCTCTTTTGAGGGCTAGATTCACTGCAGCAGTCATTGTTGTTTTGTACGCCAAACTTGTTTTCTCGTAAACTTTTTCTAGCTTTTCGCGCTCCCTGTGCAAGTCATTCAGGCATTCAAGCCAAGTATATTGTTCGTTGATATTGCGGACACTACGTACGTAAACGGCAGTCGAAGATAAAGCAAGAGGTTGGAAATCTAAAGCTTTGCATACTTTCAGCATCACGTCGTTTTCTGCATTTGTATAACCGGATACTTTGGAAAGTAATTCAAGGGCATCCTCTTCTACCATACCAGAACTGATTGAGACATGATGATAGTGCAAGCCCAGGGTAACACCAATGGAGGAACTATCTTGGGTGGTGACAAGAACCTGACCCTCGCCACATGTTTTTCCTCCGCCTTGTGGCCAGTATTTGGAGAACATCTTTATATCCGTTACATTGTCTGCAATTATCCACCACGCCGAATACTTGTCCACTTGTTTTCCGGTAAGAGCCTTTAGTTGAAGGATTTGCTCTTCTTTGGTAAGATCTTTTGATGTAGTAATACTCGTAATGGAATCAGGATAACAGTTCAGTTTCTCTGCAAACACCATGTATGAATTTAGTAAAGTGTCCAAGTTAGAAGCATCAAGCGTCATCACAAATTTTAACGTCTCCGTTGAGTCATCTTGATCGTAGCACTTCTCTCCAATATACTTTGCCATCACGCTTTTTCCAGAACCTGGATTGCCAGACAAGTAAACTAGGGTGGTCTTTCCGTTTTTCTTTGATAGTGTTTGCATCGCTTCGTATATCTTGTCAACCTCTTTCTCTCGATCTACTGTGTCGTGCGAAGGAYCTGKAGRCARCACRCAAAAAGAGTTTGGTGCTGCGTTTCGTTTCTTTTCATCTTCCAGCTCTATTTCTACCTTCTTCAGTTCCTCTCTAGTTTTCTGCAGTTCTTCCTGAATTTTGGTGAGTTCTTCCGTAGGAAAATGTTTCTGGTTTTCAATTTCATCAATCTTTGTGATATCAAGCTTTAAAGATGACAAAGCTTTTTTAATCTTTTGTGTATACGTTTGAAACTCAGTTTCACTTATCTTTCCCGTTGTGTTATGTACCAAATCATTGCGAATCTCCCGAATTTCATCAACGCTTTTTTTGACCACACTTGTTAACTTTCGTCCCACACTGTCGGAGTAAAGAATGGCATAAAATAGGCAAGTGCAGTCCCATTCCTTTCTGTCTCCACTGGACATCAACCCAAGAAGTCGTTTGTTTCTTAACCGATTTCGTACTGACTCCATGTTCTCAAAGGCGGTATAACTAGCAGGTGTGTCACCCCACTGACCATGTTTAATCTTGTATGAAGCATCCCATTCTTGTTTAAAAATGGTTCGTAGACCTTCAGGTACTATTTCGAAGAGGATGTAACACAGTCTAAAGAAGTTCAGCTGTTCTRCTGTGTATTCCATTGTTTCTGAAAAGTTTTTTGAAATGATAATATAGTGATAGAGAAAATATGATTCGTCCACACTTTGATGTATAGTGAAAAAACATACATTAACATTTGGAACCGTATATGAAGGACACTCAGTTTATAACTTAGCTTACGGATCTGCACTGTAATCTTTATCAAAATAAATAATTAAGGTAGGTTGCCTGGAGACAACTGTAAATACTTTAATATGTGTTATACACATGTCCCTAACCCCTAGAGGTAGCTTGTATGACTGTTGAGCTACTTTTCGTCGCTCAAGACACCCTGCTTAGGCGCTCTCAAATCGCAAAGTTTTGATTATCGACTCGATCGCATCTTAACAATTCTTTTTTCTTTCCTTCTGTTTTTACTGAAATATACTAATTCTAGTCATGTTTATTTTTTACTGTAGATATTTTTAAATTCTTGACTAATATATACTTTGTTTATGTATACTTCCTGTAGATTGTGTGAGCACCCGCTATTAAAAATGTTATATCCATCGAGTCGATTTTTCATGGACGACACAGGGCTCCCGCGCGTACACACGTTTCCTTCCGTCCGTCCTTTCTTCCGTCCCTGTATCAAAGCACAGAAACTTTCCTGCCAATTTTGTCATAACTACGACGTGGGAAATCGATTTGTGAAAACTGAAAAGCAAATTTATGCTCAAGCGTTTTTGGCCCACTTTCATTAATATAAAGAAAGGATTTTGCTTTGATATTTCGACAACAAAAAAAGGATGATACTGTATTGGAAATACTGCAATAGGAGAAAAGCAACGATATGTGAGAACCTTCCTGATTATACAAACTGAAAATATGTGATTAGTCATATCAAACTTTGCCCTAAACATTTCTTTGTATCTCGTTTCGAGGTCGAGTGTCACGCAACCGCGCCCATACAAAATGCGGCTGATTTTTGCACATTTTCTAGTTTTCACGTAGTTGTCTTTTTCTGGCGCAAATAATACCTCCGATTCTTGAAAGATACATATTTAAGCAATACATGACCATGAAAATAAATTCGATTTAAAAAAAATTGAGTTCGGGATTTTGGGATTGAAGTGAAGAATTTTGCGTGTATTTACAAAGGATTCATCTAGTGATGATGTACGTTTTAAGTAATGGTCCGAGGCAAGCAAACGGCAATGGAATGCATGAAAGTGCTAACTTTGTATTGTATAATCCATCCATCTCATTGGTTAAAACATTAAAATTTGACATAATTTCAAAAGTAAGCGCATTTTTTAATATTTTATTTAATATCTGATTCCGACTTCATAAAAGCTTTCCTTAGCTTTAATATTAACAGCAATTCTAATCGGGGAACATAGCAAATTAGAAGCATTTTTGGCTATTGTTTTGAGTGCTTATGATTGGACAAGATCTTTTAATACAAAAGAAACTTTGTTTCAAAACAGAGTTTATTCACATTTTATTTTAAAAATGTGTTACCCATAGGTTGATATATAATCAGTGTGAACACCAAGACATTTGTATGTGGGGAAGTTACATTTGCCTCAAAACAATAGAAAGTTGCCTGCTTTTTGCGCGCATTGTTACTTAAAGTGTTTGACCTCTAGCTACGTCAATCGCGCGTGTATCCAATCAATACCTCTGAATTTGAACTCTAAAATGAACGTTGGTAGGTATGCTCGACGGCCGGATTGAAAAATGACCCTAAAACTCGGTACGCATATATTAATTCAGGCATCGATTCCAGAGCCTTAAAGGTACGATTAAATTTTTTCCCGTTGTTCGAAAATTAACCCTAAACGGTACTACCAACTTTTATTAACATATGACAACATATTTTAACACATGACTTTTTCTGACTTTTCTGTCATTGGTAATTTAATTCCTGACTGGGACCGGACCGCGCGCTAGCCAATCAGAGCGCGCGAATAACTAGGATACCGGACCGAAAAAAATACAGGCTTAATACTTTTATTACTAATTGTGGCCTTTTGGCGAATTTGCCCTACACAAGAATTCAAGCTTATGTTTCGGGGGATTTACCTTAAGTGCTATTGACTTGCAATTCATATCTGTGAATTTAACAATCAAATATATTGTTAAACTTATAAAGTGTGCGTGTTTTATGTTTTCTACTCGGTTCTGGTATGGAATTGAGTAACGGATTATTTGTGCAAATTTGAAAGAAGCATCATGGCCGACGAACGGCTYCTAACTTTAGCTCTCGATGCCAAGTAACTCGCTAGTAAATGTTTCAAAGAACTAAATAGGCAACGAAATTATCCCATCAGAGTGGAAGCTACAACGCTTTCAAGACAGTCGGCTTACTTTGAATATTTGAAATGGCGGTGTCTGACACTCACTCCTTCACGTAAAGTAAAGAAGCAGACAAAATCTAAACTACCCTGGTTCCAGAGTCTTGTCTTTTATTCTTTAACTAAACAACTAAATGCCTTGAAATCACAACCAGAGTTTATTGGGAAATGTAGAGGAATGTCCTCAGTAAATTCCAATAGATTTTGTTACACTATTTAAGATGGAAAATTGCAAGTATTGTCAGTCTTATGTAAAGGACAAAACAATATCTAAGGAGCATGAACTTCGTCGTCGGATTCCTGGAGTCGCCTAGTGTATCGATAATCTTGTTTCTTTTAGAAAAATGGGCTTTTATCACAATAGATATTTGTCTTTTTGTTATTCATATTCAAGTTATATTCAGAATWGAATATTACGATGAAAGTATTTCAAGGTATTCAAGAAACGGACGAGAATGATGCCCAATGGAACTACTGGCTTCTCTCTTATTTACTCTTTAAACTACAATTAATGTACCAGTTGCGCAAGGTTTTACAAAGTACAAATATTCGCTTCTAACGCCAACAATATCTATGTTTCAACTTACCATATATGCTGTTCAACGCGCCACAAAACTTCAGAAGTCAGACAAACCACGTATCAAATGTTGATATGCAGTCTCAGTAAACAGGTCATAAAACAGGAAGCTCAAAGCACGGCTAAGCTATTAATAGATATGAGGGAAGTTAACTTTGCATTGTATTGTGGGTCGGTTGCCATCGGGTCATCATGATAATGAAAAGTGGCCGCGATGACATTGTTCTTATCTGACGGTCTAAATGTTTGAATTGTGTTTGATTCACCCGGAGCTAAAAATTCGGTCGTTATGAGAGGGTCGCAGCGTTAAGCGAGAGGCCGTAACGCTGGGGGTTCCACTGTACTTTGATAATTACTAAAAACTATCGTAAATTTGTTAAATTTCCCTCGATCTTCAACATAAGCTATATAACTTTTATAATGAATTGCTGGCTTTTGGCGAATTTGACCTACACAAGAATTCAAGCTTATGTTTCGGGGGATTTACCTTAACTGCTATTGACTTGCGATTCATATCTTTGAATTTAACAATTAAATATATTGTTAAACTTATAAAGTGTGCTTTTTATGCTTTCTACTCAGTTCTGGTATATGGAATTGAGTAACGGACTATTTGTGGAAATTTGAAAGAGGCGTCATGGCCGACGAACGGCTCCTAACTTTAGCTCGATGCCAAGTAACTTGCTAAAGTTATCCCATCACAGTGGAAGCTACAACCATGGCTTTAYAGACAGTCGACTTACTTGAATATTTGAAATGGCGGTGTCTGACACTCACTCCTTCACGTGAGTAAAGAACATTGAAAAAAGCAGTAAAAAAACTACTAAATGTCCTGAAATCACAACCAGAGTTTATTGGGAAATGTAAGGAATGTCCTCAGTAAATTCCAATAGATTTTGTTACATATTTAAGATTGAAAATTGCAAGTATTGTCTGTCAATGTGGCAAATAAACGAACTTCGCCAATTCGTTGGCTTAATGAAACTTCCGCCTAAGTATTCCAGAAAGGCCTAGTCCGGGACCTAAAATTGCCTAAAATCGCCTAAAATCGCCCAAAATCGCAGTAAATCGCCTTAGATTTAGATGGGGTTTTGTTSATTTTTGCTTAAATCGCCTAAAATCGCCCAAAATCGCAGTAAATCGCCCAAAATCGCAGTAAATATAGCCTTAGATTTTTAGATGGTTTTTTTGGTGATTTTTGCTTAAATCGACTTAAATCGCTTAAAATCGCCTATAATCGCCCAAAATTACGGCGATTTCATGTCCTGGACTAGGCTAGTCCGGTACCTAACATCGCCTAAAATCGACCAAAATCACCTAAAATCGCCCAAAATCGCAGAAAATCGGCTTAGATTTAGGTGGGTTTTTTGTGATTTTTGCTAAAATCGCCTAAAATCGCTTAAAATCGCCTATAATCGCTTAAAATCGCCTATAATCGCCCAAAATTACGGCGATTTTAGGTCCCGGACTAGGCCTCCAGAAGCTGTCTTAATTTGTTCATAGTTAAGTGGGCCTACATTGCTATATATATTTCTCTTATGGTTATTCATATTCAAGTCATATTTAGAATATAACATTACCATGAAAGTATTTACAATTGTACGGTCGAGATGGTTCCCAGCCAAACTATCCCTTCCTCTTTTAGTGCACCTCAGTGATACATTTACTCTTGAAATTACATTGTTCTTTGTGCAAGGTTTTACAAATATTCGCTTCTAAATTCAACAATATCTATGTTTCAACATACCATTTATATGCTGTTGAACGCGCAGCAAAACTTCAGAAATCACACAGGCAAGAAGACTCAAATGGAGGCTAAGTTATTTTTAAATTAACTATGACGTAAATTTACTTTGCATTGTGTAGTGGTTGCCATGGTCATGGTATTAACCGAAAGGACAATGAAAACTGACTGCGTTGTTTTGGTTTGTCTAATAGTCCTCTATTGCTTGTTGTATATGACTTAACCCGTTAGTTGTTCATCTGCCTTTACAAGCAAATGGAAAATAATAAGTTTGGGGCTTAGATTGGGGTTTACATTGGGGTCTTARATTGGGTGTGCAGGTGATTTAGGGAGAACAGTAGCGTCTTATGGAGAGGGCGCGGCTGCAGACGCCCATACTCATCCCTTTGAGCGCGAGAGAGACCGGTGAAAATAGGTTACTGTTGCTGGCGTTGTGCGGTGTCTCTGTTATTCATTAGTTTAGAACTAATTAGAACTACGTAACGAGGTTAAAGCTGAATGAAGTAGACACTGTAGAGTGTTCACATCGAGCTTCTGTTTTATAAATAAGACAAAGTTTTGATTCACTTGAAAAAATACTTTATACCTCATAACTGCAAAACCTAGGCATGAGTAATAGGCATATATATATACGTGTGAAGACTTTGCGATGTTCTTGAACACATGTATCGAAATGCCTATTCTGCTTTTACGTGGGTAGCAAGAATAACATCTCGCACTATTTATGATTTTATTAATTAAAACTTATCGCGTGAGTAATATAAACGACATACGTCACCAGAAAGTCGTTCAGTGTCTTAAAAGACTGGTTAGCTGCATCAGCGAAGGAATCACAAAACSGTGTGACTTCCCGGAATAAATGCAGAAATGGTCGTCGCATTTATATAATTCCAGATTCATCTAAAACGATCTTCAACACGTGCAGTATTGAGCGATAAAACACCTTATACTTAGAGCGTAATAATTGGTACTAAACCCAATGACGATTGAAGTATTTCCGGGTGGTCATGGTTCTGTGATATGCACTGTATTGATACTCTAAAATTAAAACTTTTTCGAGGTTTCCTTAATTGTGTTGTATAGATTAGTGGATCTAAAATTCTATAAATGTATCTCTTTTTTTCTTCATGCTACATTGTGAACTTATTTTTGTTTTTAAAAACTATCCCTTTTGACACTAAAAAAACAAGACTTTGAATGATCCCTGTTTTTTTTTTCTTGATACATAGTTTCCAAAGTCAAAGTTTAAGATAAACTAGACGCTCTGGGAGCGTGAAGTCGGACTAGCTGCTTGTGAAAATTGAGAAAGACAGGATATTACATGGATAAAAATATTTCTTAACTTTTTTTTCTCCAAAACAGCCGAACTCACGGTCTAATAAGAGCGTCTAGTTCAAAATATACTTTCAACTCGTGCACCAACGGAAATGCCTCGCTCTGGGGTGCCCATAATTGAGCCGAAGCGGGGGAGAGCAAGGATTCTTGACTTCTTGTTATGATGAAGTAGTAAATTTCAGTTTGAATATTTCAGGTTCATAGACAATTAAAAACTCCAACAGAATGCGGACACCGATGTAACGGTGAATTACATTGCGATTTTTTTGAAAACTACAACTACATTATATCACGTCTTCTCACCCCAGAGCGAGGCATTTCCGTTGGTGCACGAGTTGAAAGTAAATATTTTTCACTGGAGGCTGAACATTGGTGGCAAGTGAGAATAGGTATTGATCGAAATCTGTACGGAGTTTGATGTCCATTAGATGAAGTTAAAGGTGTCTTAGAGGCCGTAGTTTAGAGCTGGTTGGCCCATTTCGATCGCTGACTTACCTCACATGTCTATTTTTATTTACGAGGGGAGAAAAATATAAAAATGGCTTTGAAAATCAATCTTTATTCATAAAACTGTTTATACTTATTAAAGAAAAAAGAAAAGAAAGAGAAAGTCTTGAAAAGTCTCAAGAAATGAAGTAGAAAAATTTACGGCTTCATGAGGGCTCGAACCGCGAACCTCGCAATTAATACTTTGACACCGCCGTGAAAGCAACACAACCGTTGAGCCTGGGCCCCCTGTGATACAGTTTTGTAAGCATACAACTTGAAACTCTATGCGATCTGCACATGCGCGTACTTCTAATGCCTAGACAGATGCATTCCGATGAGATTACAGATACCACATTTGTAAACAAATAGTTTTTTTGTCATATAAAAGCCAAGTAGCATATAACATTTACTAACGATATTCGTACATCAATACGCTTGAGCATCCGGTCATGTAATAACACAGCCAACCCTACAGTTAATTATTAAATTCTTAGAGTGCACGTCACATAAGCATGAAACAATTCTTAATATGTATTGCTAAATAAGATTTAGTTATCAGCTAACTAAGGATTCAACAAAGGATAAACACAATGCCAATTATTTAAATTCCTTTGTAGCATTGTTCTCAATTCTTAGTTAGTTGATAACTAAATCTTATTTAGCACTACATAGTTAAGAATTGTTTCATGCTTATGTGACTTGCACTCTAACTTCCGGTGGTCCAAACGCGACATAATACATAGATAGATAGATAGATAGATAATTTTAATTGTTCACGCTCAGTTTTTACACAATTTTTATCGAATATATATRGTGAAATTTTATAAGGAGGCTCTTCGCTTCTTTATTTAAGAAAATACAAAATGTCGGAAAAAGTATTGGGGGGGCTGTAGCCCCCCAGCCCCCCCTGCTCCGCGGTCCATGAATTCACATTACACTTAGCTGGAATAGACCTCTGCAGCTTTTACGTCATGTACCGTATACACAATGCATTGTAGGACATGTTTGGGACAGAACATGGCGGATTTCTTTTGTTTTCTCTTGAAACTGATCCCACAATGCATTGAAAATCAGGTTCAGAAGTCTATCGGCATTCAAATCATGGAAAATTAAATCTCTAAATCTCCAAATAAAATAATTAAAATTCAACAAAATTATGATTATTTACCACAGCTGTCGTCGTCGAATCATCAAAATTGTTATTCATAAACAACAATGTAGACGATTCGATGACGCCAACCGTGAAGTAAAAAAAAAACATACCACGAGAACGCTTTTTACCACAGAAAAAAGATTCTGCGATTGGGATAACAATCCCCGAAATATGGACAATCTTGCCACCGTGTTGTCATATGCTTTTATTTACCACGGCTATCGACCAATCAGAAATCAAGAAAATTTACAACTTGTTGTAAAAGCGTCTACCGAAATTAATACATATTGGTGAATGGGTAAATTCAAATGTTTTTCAATGCTCTGAAAAGATTTCTTCAACTTTACTATATATCAAGTCTCCCTGCATCACAGCTCGAAGAAAGAAACAAAACAAAACCCAGCGTTATTGTCTGATATGAAATCCAATCTATTGTACTATAATTGAGCTGCATTCCAAGGGGTCCCCTACTGTGGACTACAGTCGAATATAAAGAGAATAGTAGACTCCTGCAGACAACTGTCTGTATGCATAATTAGTCGGACTAGCCGAAGGCGGTCCGACTTTAAATTTACCTTTTAGCCTATCAATCTATCTATCTATCTATGTATTATGTCGCGTTTGGACCACCGGAAGTTAAGAATTTAATAATTAACTATTGGGTTGGCTGTGTTATTACATGACAGGAATCTCAAGCGTATTGATTTACGTTAGTTATATGCTACTTGGCTTTTATATGACAAAAACACTATTCGTTTACAAATGTGGTATCTGTGATCTCATCGGAATGCGTCTGTCTAGGCATTAGAAGTACGAGCATGTGCAGATCGCATAGAGTTTCAAGTTGTATGCTTACAAAACTGAATCAATATCCTTTCTAGTGTTAGACAGTCTTGTGGGGGCAAAGATTTCAAATTAGAACAAGAAGAAACTTTGTTTATCAATAACAGAAAGGCGAATTTAATGATTTTATAGGCATCTTTTTCCTTGTAAAGTTTTTATTTTCTTTGCCTGAGAGGTCAACGTTTTAGATATCATATATCACTTAGCGAGACATTTGTCTGAG